TCTCCTGTTTCATCAGGGATCTGGGAAACACATCAACAGTTGTATTATACATTATGTTTAAGTCAGTTAAGGGGTTCACCAACAACAACATAGGCTTAATCTTGTAAATATACTTAGAACTATATTGTCCTATCTTAATAGATATCCAAAAATGCCCATCAAGATGCCTATAGTAATTATAACAAAAATACAACTAATTAAGAAGCAATAATACACGGAATGGATATTCTGTAGCAAGAACACCTTATACTATTGCACTGTATAATTAAGAGTACCTGTGGCAAGCAAAAGTCAGCTTACGGCATATTATTAAAGGACCACTCTAGGCACCCAGACCACTTCAGCTTAATGAAGTGGTCTGGGTGCCAGGTCCCTCTAGGATTAACCCATTTTTTTATAAACATAGCAGTTTCAGAGAAACTGCTATGTTTATCAATGGGTTAATCCAGCCCTCAATTCTTCTAGTGGCAGTCTCATTGACAGCCACTAGAGGCACTTGCGTGATTCTCACTGTGAAAATCACAGTGAGAACACGCAAGCGTCCATAGGAAAGCATTATAAATGCTTTCCTATGAGACCTGCTGAAGGCGCACGCAGCTCTTGCCGCGCGTGCGCATTCAGCCGAATGGGCGGAGAGGAGGAGGATCGGAGGAGGAGAGCTCCCCGCCCGGCGCTGGAAAAAAGGTAAGTTTTACCCCTTTTCTCTCCCCAGAGCCGGGCGGGAGGGGGTCCCTGAGGGTGGGGGCACCCTCAGGGCACTATAGTGCCAGGAAAACGAGTATGTTTTCCTGGCACTATAGTGGTCCTTTAAGCTGGTGTTGCACCGCTGTAAAAGTGTAATTATCTAGTGGCTCTAGTCTATATACATATGTGTATGTACAGTATGGATCCTTCATAACAAACGTCCATTCCAGGGAAGATTTGGTGATTAATTTACTTTACAGTTAATCCCTTGAGACTTAACTACTAGACGCTAATGAGGTGAGTATTGTCTCAGTAGGAATGTACTGAGCTCATCATACAAACAGCGCAACACATATACGCGCTATCCCACTCTCATAGAAAGTGTACTGGGCTAGTGATATAAAGTAACAATCATACCAGTCATATGGGTCCCATTCAATATGAGATGCAATATAATGCAATGTAAAACTTAAAACTTTATAAAATAGGAGACTGGAGAAATATGCAGAGATAGAATAAAGATAATTCAGGAGCTATACTCTTGAAGTCCAAACATCCCTTATGGGGAAATATATATTACCCACAACCCACACCTAGGTCGTCAATATATATATCTACCTATATTTCATGGAAAAGTAAGGACAACTTCTCTCCTTTACCGGAGACTTCTCCCACCTTTGCCAGAGGCTTCTCCTTTACTGGAGACTTCAGTAGACCCACAGCTGGGTGTCTCTGAAATTACCACTTTACTTCTAAGTTCAGGATCAAAGAGAGACACAGTTGGGAGTCAGAATTCAAATGTCATGTACTCACCAACTATTCTCCTTCGATCCCGGACGAGCCCCCATCTTTAGGGAGGGGAGATTCTATGGGTCAGCAATTTTACTCTCTCATGCCATGGACTTTCATCAATTTATAACTCTCTGTATATGTCCTCATCCTTAAACAGCTGGTGAGGAGCCCCAATGAACGAGACAACACAGTGTAAGGTTTAAGGGAACTTCTGATGTTATATTGAAGAGAAAACATGGGTGGTCTTATGAGCATTATCCAATAATAACAACATAATTTGTCTATTTTATCTTAACATATCTTAACCTATAGCTAGTTTGCAGGTGTAATTGGGGAGTAATCTTGCCTTGACCTACGCAGTTGGAAATAGACTAGTAACTACAAACTTACAAATAGATATGTTACTACGCAGTTAGGAATACAGAGATAGAAAACAGAAAATAAGTCAAACAGGAAATAACACCAACACCCTGAGATAGGAAAGTCTATAGCTCTGTGTCAAAGGGGTAAATTCAGCGTTGTATAGATAAAGTGTATAATTGTCATCAGTAACATTGCCAGAAGCTGGTGTCTGGCTGTGTATCTTGTTTGTAGCAGATCATAACAGCAAAAGGGTGCTTCACTATGTCCCAGAGATGCTTGCCAGGAAGGGGTTAAATAATTTTGAGTCATCATAAGTTGCGTTTTCAGTTGAATTTTGGGAAACTACTTGAAGCATTCATTGTATTCAGCTATTTCAATTGCTTTTGTTCGAATTGTTCATTTCAAACAGCTGAAAGTCTAAATTTTGACAATAAACCTGATTTTCAAGGGGGTTGAATAATTTTAATTACAACTGTATATGTTTTTGTTATTAAGCGACAATGCTTGGAATTAAATATAGGGAAGTTTCCTCTTTGGTGACTATAGGGAAGTCAACTCTCTGGTGACTATAACTTCCCTTGGGAATTGTAGGTTTTAGACCAAAATATCCAAGCTAGAAAAACAACAAAAATAAAGTTTGAAAAAAATTAGCTATTTAGGCTCAACATGCACAATTTCCTTCACTGATATGCTAAACAATAAGTTTAGATAATAGCCCCAAGCATGTTATTGAGAAAGTTGCCAAAACATTTTAGAAAAAAAAGCACCTTCTGCTAATATTGGTTAGGGACTCTAGAATAATAGTAAGTTTTATATAGATTCGGTGTGTAAATAACATTTTATCCTTCATAACTTTATTAAATTTTGCTAAATATTAATTTCACTAAGAACCAAAAGAAACTATGAGTAATTCTTAATAAAAATGTACATTTTCTTAAAATGAACAAACAAGATGACTATTTAAACTGTTGCCTTTATCTCACTGTATTTAAGAACTGGGTATCTTGGAAGGAAGAACAGAATTTTGTGCCAGATAGTTGCTGCTGTGGGTCTTCTATTATTATTATTATTATTTTGTTATGGTTGATCCCAATTAGTTATTTGCCCTGGTATTCAGCTTAATACTACTGCACGAAAAGCCTGCCAGTTGTGGAACAGCAATTTTAAATTTGGCGACACCTAGCATAAGATGTTAACCACAGTTTAAATTTGCCTGCGGCCATTCATTTTTTTCTCTCTTACATATTCCTACAGGAGAGAGAAAGTAACACGCTATTCTACATCAGCTGCTAGGCAAGTGACTACGAATGGTCTTTAATAAGTGGTTCGTCTTGCATTAGAGATAAATTATAATACTGTATTCCTGTATATTGTATAAAATTGGAATCTGTCTGAAGTATTTTTTTTATTATTTTATTTAATTGTATTAAATTATTTTATTTTAAGAGAAAGACGTTGTTGGGAATAATACACTTTGCTATACTGACCCAAGGCTCAAGCTACAGATGACCGGCTGGCCAGTCAGTTTACAATTGGTTAACATGTCAGCTATTTGAAATAATATACTTTATCTATATCCAATGCTTAGTGAATATACTCCGAGACAAGAGTTATAGAACATCATGTAACAAGTAATAGTTGTTATATCCTGTATGTTTCTGTCTGTCGGCCTTATTTTCTGTTTTTCTCCCTTTGATCATAACTGCATAGTAATGTGTAATTTAGAACTGAGTAGTAAATATCTTTAATTCTTAGTGCGCATGCATATTAATTTGAAGTGCATAGGTATAGTGAAACTTAGCTTTGTGCAAAGCCTAAACATGAAGATACACCTGCAAGCTTGCTATAGGTTAAAATGTTAAGATAAGATAGATGATTTTGTTAGCATTGGATAATGCCTGTGAGACCACCCCTGTTTCCTGCTGTATATAACCGATTACACAGCTCATTAAAAGTTCAGAAGTCACTTTGAACCTTGTTTTGTATCGTTCATTGGGGCTACTCACCAGATGGTTGGGGACGAGGAGAAATACAGAGAGTTGCAAATTGCTACAAAAGACCACGACAAGGGAAAATGTCTGACAAAGGAAATCTCTTTTAACTTGTGAAAATCTATAAAATTTCTTGTACAGGGATGCTGAGATTTTATTTCTTGTGACCACAACTGTAGACTCCGTGTGTGTTGGGTTTGAGGTTTGATCAGGTATGTAGTCTGGATCAAAAAATGATGGACAAAGATTTTTACCTGCATTATTATGGCTCTTAAACACTCAGCTTGATCGGTCCATTCAAAAGTTTACCATGCCTTTTAACATGGTATAGTATAAAAATTTTGAGTGTTTGAGAATCCTGAAAGATGCAGGTGACACCATGTCTGTGTAATCTGGTCTAACTGTTTGCTCAATTTCTATAAGATTTAGGATGATGTAGCATCATCTTAGAGAGATGTTAAGATAAGATAGATGATTTTGTTAGTATTAGATAATGCTTGTGAGACTGTGGCGAAACCAACCTCGCCACTGTGAACTGGAGAAGCCTGGTTGCTCGCCTGCTCCCTTTGGACTATGGCCCTGCAGGTTAAACTGTTTATTTCCCCTGCAGAAAGGCTTATTTGTGTGATCTGAGTGCCATTCATCTAATAATGTGCACTCAGATCCCAGCTATCTGGGGATATGTGAAATGTCTGTGTGTTATGTGTAAATGTGACTTTATGTATTTTAAAGTGTTTTGTGTCTTTTTGCAACCATGTGCTTAATGGAGTCTTGTGTCTGTCCTGGGAGATAATTGAATTACTTATCTCCAGGATAGAAGACTCTGAAACTGGTTTGGGCCAGAAAGCCATGCTTCATTTAGTCACAAAGGACTTTCCCTTAACTTTTGAACCCCTGGTCTGATTCGTGCCATTTTTTAATATGTTGTTCCCTGAATGGATTGATTATGAAAATGTATGTTTTATGTTTGTGACATGTATATTTTAGAAGTTATAAATATTGTGTAAAAACTGTATTCCTCTGCCGGTGATAATGAGATTACCCATTGTGTTCAGTAATCATATCACCTGCAGAGGGGAGGATTTTGTGTGGGAGTGTCTGGGTGTATTGTACGAATTGATTGGTTGTTTTGTAACGCCCTGTGGGCTGTACTATGTTTTGTGGATTGTAATAAAAACCAGGCTGGGTGTGCCAGCACTGGAGTTCCTGTTTTAACCCTCAAAGTGAAGTGTCGTCTCATTATTGGGGGAAGGATTCATTGTATGCTGTTCCAGTTTGACTGCTAGGAGAGTAAACCTATTCGTATGGTTCCTATTCAACTGTCTACAGCATTCATATGCTTGAGAGAAGGTATACGCTTCTCCGGTTCGGTGATTGTGGTGTCTGCTGCAGTGCTTGGAGTCCTCAGGAAGCGCTAGGAGCATCCTTTCAACGGAGGTACCCAGTTGGGGTGCCAGGCGATCCGTTACATTGGTGGCAAGCGGTGGGATGGCGTCCTAGTGCGAGGTAAAGCAGCTCAGAGACACAGTTCGTTTGGAGTTACAAATTGAGGGCAACGCTAGCACACGTGCAGCGCCCCTGGGAGCAGAGGTATCCAGCGACTTGGAGCAGACAAGTATGGAAGGCTCTGGCGATGATTGGATGGCCGAGGTGAGGCAGCGAGTGGCCCAGTATGGGGATGATTTACCCATGGAGGTACGCCGGGTGATCTGGAACCAGGTCACGGCCGAGCGAAACACAAGGCTGGCCCGAGAATTCCGGCTGGCGAAAGAGAGAGAGTATGCTCAGCGGAAGGAGTGTTACAGCAGCCGAGTAGAGGCTGCATCCGAGGAGGCTAGCCGTCTCCCCCTGAGGCGGCCGCAGGAACCCGAAGTAGGGGTCCTCATAGACTGGTCCTGTGAGGAACCACAACAGGCAGGTGGAGATGGGACGGCGGTCTCTCAACCGGCCCTACAGGGATGCTGGGCGGTCGGCCCAGATCTCCAGCGGCAGTATGTACCCCAGGGAGCTGAAGGTGCAGTCCTTCCTCCCCAGCGGCAGTGTGCACCCCAGGGAGCTGAAGGTGCAGTCCTTCCTCCCCAGCAGCAGTGTGTACCCCAGGAAGCTGAAGGTGCAGTCCTTCCTCCCCAGCGGCAGTGTTTACCCCAGGGAGCTGAAGGTGCCGTCCTTCCTCCCCAGCGGCAGAGTGTCCTGCAGGGAGCAGAGACCGTCAGTCTCGCACCCCAACCACAGGACAAAATAATGAAAGGGGAGACAGCTGGTCCCAGGGGCGGACTGACCAGTTGGGCACTTCGGACACGGTCCGAGGGCCCGGCCGGGAGGGGGGCCCGCCGCCAGGGCCGCCTTCAGGGGGCCCGGCGGCAGGGCTGGATTGGGGGGGGACTGCAGGTGCCACCGGGTGGCCGGTCCGGTGGCACACTGTGAGGGGGGGGCGGCCGTTTCATGTTAGAGCCGCCGGACCGGGTGGCATTCCTCTCACTAACACTGAAGAGGAAGGAGGAGGAGGAGCATGTGTGTCATGCTCCCTGCGGTTCCCACAATTCCCAGCACAGGATGTGGGAACCGCAAAGGAGCATGACAGACACATGCTCCTCCTCCTCCTTCCTTCTTCAGTGTTATTGAGAGGAATGCCGCCGGACCGGCGAGGCTGCCACCCGGTCCGGCGGCTCTAAAATGAAACGGCCGGCCCCCTCTGACTAGTAAGAGGGGGGAGAGATGGGGAGAAAGAGAGGGGAGAGATGGGGAGGGGGGAGAAAGAGAGGGGAAGGGGGAGAAAGAGAGGGGAGAGA